TCTTCCAGTCTTCCTCATTCAACATCCAACTTTCAGCACACATATGCGGCAATGGAAAATATCATGCCTTGGGTCACGCACACCTTACTCCTCAAAGCTTTTGAACACTTTAAAGAGTCCTGTGCAGCAGATTGACTTAATGCAATGCTTCTATTGATCTCCTGACTGCTGTTTCCATGAGCATTGATTGTGGATCCAAGAGAGATTAAGTTCTTGACAACTTCAATCTTTTCTCTGTTTATCATGAGGTTGACTAATGGTCCTATTGTGAGTATTTTGGTCTTCTTTACATTGAGATGCAATCCATAATTGAGGCTGAAATACTTAATCTTCATCAACCTGTGATTTAATTCCTCCTCACTTTCAGCAAGCAAGGTTATGTCATCTGTATATCTCAGGTTGTCAATAAGCCTTCCTCTGATCCTGATGCCACATTCTTTTTCATATAATCTGGTTTCTCTGGTGATTTGTTCCGCATACAGATTGAACATATATGGTGAGAAGGTACAATTTTCATGCACACCTTTTCTGGTTTTAAACTTTCCTGTGTTTAAACTTTCCTGTTCACACAACTGCCTCTTTTCCTTATGAGCACAATGGAGAGTTTTGGAATTCCCATTTTTCTCAAGGTTATCCACAGATTACTGTGATCCACACAATCGAATAGGGTCGAATAGTCCACAAGACACAAGTAGAAATTTTTCTGGTATTCTCTGATTGGAACTAAAAATCCATCTGGCAGCATTGATATACCTAGCTTCAAGTCCTCTTCTGAATCCACTCTGAACTTCTGTCAGTTTCCTATCAATGTATTATTGTAACTATTGTTTGATGATCTTAAGCAAAATTATACTTGTGTGCAATTTCAGTGATATTGATATTGTTTGATATTGATATTGTTCTATAGCGTGAGCATTCTTTTGGATCACCTTTCTTTGGAATGGGAACAAATATGAATCTCTTCCAGTTTATTGTCCAAGGAGATGTCTTCCAAATTTCCTGGCATAGACAAGTGAGTGCTCCAGTGTTTTTTTAGCTTGCTGAAACATTTAAATCGATATTCCATCAATTCCTGCAGCTTTGTTTTTTTTGCTTTTTGCTAATGCATTCAGTGCAATTTGAACTTCTTCCTTTAGCACCATGGGTCCTTATTTATAAACTACCACCTGAAATGGAGGAATGTCAACTAGTTTTTTTGTTTCAATGACTGTGTATTCTTTCCATCTTTTCTTGATGCTTCATACAACATTCAATATTTTATCCATAGAATCTTTCACAATTGCAACTGGAGGCTTGAATTTATTCTTGAGTCCTTTCAGTTTAAGTTGTGAAGAGTCTGTTCTTCCCTTTGGTAATCTATTTTTAAGTCTACACATTTTACTATCATATTTGGTTGTGTCTTTCAGAGCTGACCTTTGAAATGTTCTATTCAGCTCTCTGACTTCATCTTCCATTTACTTTAGCTACTCTATGATTAAGCGCATGTTTCAGAATCTCTTCTGACATCCACTTTGATCTTTTCTGTCTTTTTAATGACAATTATTTTCTTCGTGAATGATGGTCTGGATGTCCTCCCACA